TGAAAACCAAAGCGTAACTCACCAAACTGACCAACTCGCCATGCTCCAAAAACTGTGGGGGACAATACCCGCATGCCCGAGAATGCCCTACTGAAGGCAAAGAGTGTAGTTCATGTGGTAAGCTCAACCACTTTTCGTCTGTGTGTCGATCCAGCAAATACAAACAGCGATCACAGAACAAACCACAGACAGTGAGAAATGTGGACGAGGATGACCCATCATCATCAGGGCAATTCCATGGTTACTCATGTTACGTTTTTTATGTACTTTTGAGTTTCCTTGGGCTGTAATTACCTTACTGAAAAGGTTTAATAACTGTTATCCCCATGGTAGATATAGTAGACCTAGACCTACCTAAGCACCAAAGATGACATCCAGAAACATGTGTTATGAATGATAAACAAGAAGCACAAAATCGGTTACTCACGTTACATTTTCGGACATGCATAAAAAGCCATAAACATGCTTTGATCAAAAAGTGTCCTCATACAGGCAACCTGTGGAAATTTCTTTTAAATGGATAAAAGACCATGCAATGGGGCACACACAGTACAAATCCTCCAGAATCTTCCATTTTTTTGCAATCCACAAAAAAACATGGTTACTCACGTTATGGTTACTCATGTTACATTTTGTCCCACCCATCTCAGAATTTTATGGCATGATGTTTTTTTTGACTAAATTATCATAATTAGTATGTTTCTACCCAATAGGCATCAGAACTACTAAAAAGTCTGACTTAAATTTGCATTTTGGATCTCCAATGGCAAGTACTCCAAGATAAAGGTTTTCATCTGACATTATATGATCTTCTTTCAAGAATTTAATGTTTCCTCTTAAGTCCTCTTAGTTGGTTTGTTTTAACTAATGCTGAGCCATCAGAACAAACCTCTCATGTTCTGAGGGTCTGCCAAAACTTAACCCTAAAGGGGCCGGGTTATTTTGACCATCTCTCAGCCGGGGGGGGGGGGGGGGGGGGATTCCGCCCCCCCCCCCCGGCCATCGAGTGACGAAAAATTTTGAAACTCGGCACATGCATAGAGCAACTCTTCCTAAACATACCCAAGAAATTTCATGACTATAGGTCAAAGGGTTTTGGAATTATGGCTAATTAATTATTCATATGTACGAATGGCAATTCTGCTCTGTGTGCACGACGTATATTCGAAAATTCACTTTTTACGGCGCATAGCGCCGGAAAATTTTTCGCTACACGGCAACCCGTGGTCCGATTTTTATGTTTTTGGTATCAAAAGATGTGCAAAGCTCGAGGCTAAAAAGTCATAACAGCTCGGGTCGCAAAAAATTTTTTTTTAGAGGCTATCACGGAAAGTGTTGAGGGGGGGGGGGCGGATTCCGCCCCCCCCCGGCCCCTTTAGGGTTAATGTATGCCACTAGAGAACAGAATATAGGTTCCATGGAAAGGCCACACTATCGGAGATCATGATGTGGAGAGTGGGTTCCAGGGTATACCATTGTACCGGATAGCTTAGTGTGAAGTGCCTACATGTAATTTTATTTAGCTTTTGTTCCAAATAAACATTTTTATTTCAATGTAGGGACGTACAGCAGTCTTCCGTATTCCATTAAACAACACAAAAACTTGATAAAATACTGTAATTTGATTCAATTTACAACAATTATGCTGTCTCAAAGACCATTTTGCACCATAAACAGGATAAAATATCCTTAAAGTATCTCTAATGCTTGAGGTTCTTTGGTTTAAGATAATCAGTTATCAACAAAATCAACATTATCAAGCAAAAGTCAGTTTGGGTATAGTTTGGGTGACTTGGGATAAAAAAAAACTTGGTTACTCACGTTACATTTTTGGTTACTCATGTTACAAAAGTTCCTCACGTTACCGGATTTAGTTGCCTTTTATTCTAAAATGTGTGTATTAGTGTAAAAAAAACAACTTTTTTTATATCTTTGTTCATGCAAAGAATGATAATCCTGAATACCAAAATTTAATTCATTAGAAATGTTGGTGAGAAATTTTTTCTATGTCTTTTTGGTTACTCGCGTTACATTGACAAACAAAATATAAAATGCTACTTTTTGACATCTAAAAATGGATTATGGCTGTGAATTGACATATGGTTCAGAGATTAAGACTATCATTAATGCTAGAAAAAAGGTCATGATTGAAATATCTCTAATTGCATTAATAGCAATCAATGTTTAAACTTTACCAATTTTTGAAGTTCTTGTGGTAAAAAAATATTTTCACTTTACGACACGATTTCTCAAACAAAAACTTTGATAAAATTGGGTTTTCTTTGTTAATTTCTCATACTTGAATGTATAATCTGTAATAAAAATGTGAAACTGGGTTAAAAAATCAAACTTTTTTTTTCTTAGCCATGTCCATCAAATCGTGGAGTTGCCCAGCAGACCATGAATACATCTTCGCAGTCGATACCCCTTCTCACAAGCCTCGAACCATGATTGATATCAAAGGCATTGACTCATCAGTTATCATTGAGTCTGGAGGCACTTTTCAAAGCACCTTTCCATCTGTAAAAACAGATTGAAAAACACATTCAAGATCTCTAAGATCAAGACATCATCGAGGATGCTGTTGGTCCAACCCCATGGGTGTCTCTTGTCATTGCAGTCCCTAAACCACACAAACCCTGACAGCATCCATCTGTGTATCAACATGCGGGCTACAAACAAAGCCATAAAGCGTAAACGGCACCCATCACCAACAATGAATGAACTCATAGCCGAGCTTCGAGCTCAATGGCTCACAAGTTTTCGCCAAACTGGATCTTTGGTCTGTATACCATCAGCTTGTACTAGCGCTGGAAAGTCGATATATCACAATGTTCGCCACACATGTCGGACTCAAGCGATACAAACGACTCATCTTTGTTTTGGTATCTCTTCAGCCAGCGAAGTATTCCAAAACACTATCCGACAAATCATTGAAGGCATACCTGGTGTGCTCAATTTCTCAGATGATATTCTGATACAAGCCACCACCATGGACGAGCACAACCAAAGGCTACACATGCTTCTTGAGTGCCTGCAGGAAAAAAACTCACAGTCAACCAAGAGAAGTGCCAGTTCACACAATCCCGCGTTTACTTCTTCAGACTTGTCTTCAGTGAACATGGCGCCTCCCCAGATCTTCAAAAAGTTGACGCTATCTAAAATGCTAGTGCCCCACAGAGCCCAGCAGAAGTCCGCAGCCTACTTGCTATGGCAAGCTACAGCTCATGCTTAATCATACCAAATCTCTCGACCATCACTGATCCCCTTTGCACTTACCGAGAAAGACGCAAAGTTGGAATGGAACTCGATGCACAACGTAGCACTCCAACGACTAAAAGACCCCCTCTTACGGGAAGTAGTCGGCACATACTTTGATCCAGCGAAAAACACGGAAGTATGGGTTGATGCAAGTCCTGTTGGCCTTGGTGCAGTGCTAACACAAAGCCAGTCGTGCTTTGACACCCACTGAACAACGCTACAGCCAAATCGAGCAGAATCCCTTGGAATCACTTGGAGAATTAAACGCTTCCATATGTACCTCTTCGGTCAAGCATTTACAGTTGTCACTGACCACAAACCGCTCATCTCCTTATTCACCAAGCCTCAGGCAAACCCATCTCTACGCATACAGAACTGGCAACTCAAACTGCAGTCATATGACATGTCTGTTGTTCATTGCACCAGAAAGAACAACAGACTACACATCCAGACATCCTTGCCCGAACAGCGACATTGGTAGTCTGTCAAAAGAAGCTGACGAGTTTGTCAACTTCATTGCCAACTATTCAATTCCCAAAGCCATCACGCTTGATGAGATTCATTGCCAAACTGACAAAGACCTTGCTCTCCAACCAGTCATCCAAGCATATCGCGATGGACAGCGGTTCGAGCTCAAGGATGACTCAACGCCTAATGGGCAATTTGCGACAGCATAGAATGTGGTGTAGTCCTGCGAGAACAAGGCATTGTAATCCCTGCCAGCTTGCAACAGCACATTCTCAATCTTGCCCACAGCGGTACTCAGGAAATATTGAAAACCTAGTCGCTGCTACGCGAAAAGGTGTGGTTCCCAAACATCGACCAGAAAGCCGAAGAAATTGTCAAACACTGTCTTGCCTGCCAAGCTTCCACACGGACAAAATCATGGACAAGATCTTTGCTGCACACGGTATTCCAGAAACTGTGAAAACCGACAATGGTTCTCCATTCAACAGTACAGAATTCAAAACATTCTCAGAATATCTCGGTTTTCATCACAGAAAAATCCCCCCCCCCCCACTGGCCAGAAGCCAACGGTCAAACAAAAAACTCTGTAGAAAGCTGTTTGTTGTGCAGAAGCAGAAGGAAAACCGTGGAACTAAGAACTTTGGTCATTTCTTCGCACATACTGTTCCATCCCACACTGCCCTAACCGCAGGCTTTGGTCGCAACATCAACACTCCAATTCCTCAAATGAACAAAACCGACCATGACCAATCTGCTAAACTCTGTAAACAAGATCAACTAGCGAAGCAGAAAATGAAGCAGCATGTTGATCAACGCCACGCTGACATACTGCATTGTCAAAAATTGCAGTTGGTGATACTGTCCTTGTCAAGAACCTTGACAGTCTCCGCAAAACGACCCCTCCATACCCTCCCCCCCCCCTCCATTTTTTTTCTAGGTGTGCAAAGCATATTTTCCCCCCAAAAAATCACTGTACTTTTCAAGCATATTCTTGATTTATCATTTCTCTCTTCTTTTTTTTTGGCTTTTTTTTTTGGAGGGGGAAAGCGCCCCCCTCTTGCCCCTCCCCTTGCAACGCCAATGCCCCTCTCGACTTCCCATGATGCAATTTGGTGTTTACAATATTAGTGCTGTAATTATTGAAGGGTTATGATATTAAAAAGGCACATGGATAAAAGCAGAGAGGGATGTGAAAATCCACTGACAACTGTACAAATCGACTGAAAATTTGACTTTAATTCTAAAACTAAAATGTTGTTCTTCTACATTAGGAAGATGAAGTTGCACGTCTTAAAAGGCTTCTGGCAGAATGCAGGAAATATGAGGTGAAAACTAACATTCATGCTTTTGATTATTGTGTCAATTGATTTTAACATTCAGAATTTACTTTTATATTTTTTTTTAATATTTATTAAAATATGCTTTGTAGCTTGTTTTTAATATTGTTTTTGACCAATGATGACATTGTCACACTTTACAGAGGAAAAGAGCAGATTCAGAAACAGAGAAATTTGAATCAGTCCTTGAGGTAAGAAAATAACAGAAAAATCCAAACTCCAAAAATATATTTCATATTTAAAACATATGTAGCACCAAACATAATGACTGGAAAGCCAATTTCATAAGCTTCTTTTAGATGAAAAAAAAATTACTCAATCCGTTCAAAGAATTTCACCATTTTAAAAAGCAATGATCCTAAAGTCTGTTTTGTCCACAAAAAAGCAGTTTATTGTGTATTCTGACTGTTTGGAACAACAAAGAAAACTAGAGTTTGAGGACAAACACACGGTGTTGGGCTAGAGGTTTTGCTTTTTCGCATTGTTGATTATTGTTGTTGATTGTTGATGTTGGTTGTTGATGTTGATGTTGATGTTGATTGTTGATTATAGTTGATGGTAGTTGTTCATGTTGATGTCGATTGTTGATAATTGATTGTTGATATTGATTAAGGGAATAAATGTGTGCTCCGGAGGTTTTTATCACTCGTTTAATACCGCTTAGAATCTGGGTGCTGATAATTACCCGAGCCGGAGGCGAGGGTAATTATCAGCACCCAGACTCTAAGCGGTATTAAACAGAGTGATAAATACCGACCGAGCACATATTTATTCCCATTCATAAATACCTTATCCGTAAAAAAATATCAAATAATTCGTTCAAAAATTCCCGATTTTGTTTAACAAGTTCACTTCATGCTTTTTGAAACATCCCTCTAGCAAAATAATGGAGTGTTCAGCTGGCGAGTAAGATGTAAACAACCCTTTTATGGAGATTGACGCGCGCGTAGCATGTTCTGCGCGATGTCACGCAGAACGCACCTGGGGCGTTGCGTTTTGAATTTAGAACTATAAAATTCTGTCTCGCTTGTAGTGTTGTGCATGCCTACGTGAGGATTGTGAACGTTTAACCAATGAAACGGTAAGAGGCACTGGATTTTTAGGAGTCCACATTTTATTGTGACACTGGAAAAGTGTTTAAGACCAGCTAGCCATGTCTTTATCATCCGTTTATGACCGGCCACGTGACGGTTTCTCGACCAATAGGAATAGCTAAACTGTCTGAGGTATTTATGAATAACAATTATTGATGTAGATTGTTGATGATTGTTGATGTTGATTGTTGATGTTGATGATTTTGTTAATGATTGTTGATGTTAATTGTTGATTGTGATTGTTGATGTTGGTTATTGATGTTGAATGTCAGATTGTTGATGTTAATTGTTGATGTTGATTGTTGATGTTGATGTTAATGTTGATGTTGATTGTTGATGTTGATTGTTGATGTAGATGTTGCTGTTGATGTTTATTGTTGATGTTGATTGTTAATGTTTATTGTTGATTGTTGATGTTGATTGTTGATGTTGATTGTTGATGTTAATGTTGATTGTTGATGTTGCTGTTGATTGTTGATGTTGATTGTTGATGTTGAGGTTGAGGGTTGAAAAATAGCGCGTGGAGTTATTATACAAAGGATAGTTAAAAAGAGTCGGGTGAGTATCTGCACGCACGTATGCTGCTGTACTGTAAACTTATCTAGTACAATTGTTACAAAAACCCATTAAATAGCTCATATCTCTAAAAGTAAAGGTCGCACACCATTGGCGCAATACAAGATATTGCTCGCCATACCCTCTTTACCCCAATGCGCATGTTTTTAGAAAAAAAGCGCCCAATTTAAAAAAGCGCCCAGTTGGGCGCTTTTGCCAGCCCAATTTTTGAGTATCATATGACGGGAAGTTCCCTTTTACGCAATCGCAGCGCACTGTTTTTCGGGATTTTCCCTCTGTACGCAATTATCCCCATTTGCTGTACACACAATGTAAGTGGCATTAAAAGAGCGTTTCAATGCATAGGCGTGTTCACTTTCAAACTTCAAGGGGGCTGCAGGGCAACTTAGTAAATTTATTGTAACGAAACCTTAGGAAGTTTTAGACCTATTATTGAAGTGCCATTTAAAGCACAAAACTGGATTATATCTCTGACGGTTGATTTTTTTAGCAATTCTCAAAGGAAAGAGGTCTTTTCATTGTAACTTCCGGTCTGATGACGTAATCATTATTTTTTCGCGCACAGGTCTTGTCTGCATTAAGGTCATTATGTATATTAATTTTGAAGCGATTACCGCAAATTTCGCCACAGACATCAACTGAAAATCCGTTTTGGAAATTTTTTAACCTGCCACTAGAGGGCGCTCGAACACTTGATGGCGTCACTGATCATTTTTTTGGAAAGATCAACCCACCCACAGGCTAACATCGTTGAAAGCAAGTTCATATCTTTTTCCACTTTTGAATTATTAGGCACTTCCGGTTTCGACCGGAAGGAAGGGTCATGTGATTTTACGCACACAAGATTAATTGAAGAGCATGTATTATCATGTCGAACCCACAAAATTCAAGTTCCGGTCTCTCACGGTTGATTTTATATTGAATTTCAAAGATTAAATTGATTATTTTTTGAAGTGACGTCACGTGACCCATGATGACATCATAATGACGTATTTGCAAAAAAGCACATCTTCAGTGGGTTGTGCATTCATGTATTCACAATTAAAGTTCATATTACTTTTCATGTTGACAAACAGTTCCGGAAACGAATGTGTCTTGGAGAAATTATAAAAAAAAAAAAATAGTAAATTCTTACAATAACAATAGGTGTTGGGCTGAGGCCCAACACCTAATGACACAGATTACTTGTTTCAACAACTATCAACAACTGTAGTACACAATATCTTTATTAACAACCCTGGTTAGGCAAACAATATGGTCCACTTCAGGGACTCCCTTACCTGTTAAACCTACAATTTACATATTTCTCTAAGCCTTAGGCTTCCATGCTAGATTTTAATACCACACAAGGGCACCCTCCATCGCCCGCTCCCGCCTACGGCCAACTCGTCCTCTCTTCTCTAGCGTTCATGGAAGACGGACGTGTTTACGAATCTCCTACGGACGTATCCTCTGCTAGAGTGTTTTTTTTGTACATTTTGAAAAAAATTTGTGAGATTTCTTTCGTGAGTTATACTACAAGATTCGGTGCTTCTGGTAGAGTGCCAGGTTTTGTTTTTGTTACGTTTACAGGTTAGTGTACGGAGTACATTTGCTGTTGATTTGTTAATAAAGAAGTCAAACACGAGGTGCGTCGTTTTCTTCTCGTTTTATATACCGCATGGTGTGCTTGCGTTGTTTTGTATAATACGTTCAGAATAAAATAATACGTACAGAGTACGCTGGTTATCTGTTTATTAATAAAAGAAATACACGGGTTGTGTCAGGTTTTCTTTGGGGTTGTTTTGTGAATCTACAGTTTATTTTCACGTTAGTAATGGCAGACACACATCAAAGCAAGCGTGGTGTGACGCCAAAGAATTTCGTTCCATGTTCTTCTAGTCGGCGTATTAAGCCCCGCCCCAAACAAGATTTGCATGATTTATGCCCCCGTTGCAGACCGTGTAACCGGCGAGTGCCGTGCTCGGTTTGTAAGAAGTGGGGGTCAGCAGAGTGGGAGGCCGTAGCAGCATGGATGTGTTCCCGGTCTCCTTCGGGTGATTCGGCAGCCAGTGTGTCTTCCGGGGCACCGAGCAAGGTGACATCGGCGGGACAATCCCCGCTTTCTGGGGTCATGCCTAAAGGGTCTCTGGCCACCAGTAAAGCATCGGGCCATACTACTAAATCCGTGCCGGTGAGGCCACCGGAATTTAGTTTAGTCACTGGCACCGGGAGTCCGAGCCTTGCCACTCAATCGGGGGACATGCCCCAGGCAGGTTTGAGTGAGCCTGTGCTCGCTTCCAAATGTAAGCTGGGGAAGAAAAAGGATAATTCCCGGGCCAAAGCTATGCCGGCGGGGCATATAGCGACTGGCCATGTTAGCCCCGGTGTGACCGGAGTAGCCCCCGAAACCGGTGTGGTTCCCGGTGGGTCCGGGGCAGGGACCGGTGCGACCGACATCGGAGCCCGCCCGAAGACGGCATTGGGTGGCAGAAAACACGGGGTGCAGGCTGCGGACGCAGCCACTACGGAACCGGGCTCGATTGCCGGTCCCTCGGCTGAGGTTTCGGTAGGTCCGGCTCCGGCTCCGAGTCGCGGACGCAACCGGAGCCGGGACAGGTCCGATGGTGAGACACGCCACCGGCGTAAGAGACGGCGGAGATATACTAGTTCAAGCTCTTCATCGTCATCCGCTAGCAGATCGCCACGAGGCCGTCGATGGCATCACAGCAGGCGGGAAGATCCCATGTCGGCCCTGTTATTACAGGGGTTTCGTGAATTGACGGCCAGTATTACGTCACTGATACCGAAACCGACAGCGCTGGCTCAAACGGTGACTCCACCGAAGCCCGGGCAGGTTTTGCCGGAACCGAGGGCTGAGGATGAGATGTCAATCCTCGTCCCGGATAATTTTTCCGACCCGGGGAGTGTGTCAGATAGGGACCCACGCCGGGTTTCTGCAGCGGTAGGGGTTCCCAGTACCGAACAACCCTTAGGGAATGAAGAAACTTTTCCCTCGAGACAAAAACGTGATTGCCGGGAACAGCCCCCAAGGGGGGAGGGTGATTCCTCGGTGGATTCGGATGAATCATCCTACCACTCCACGACCGACCAGCAATTGCGCGTGGTCATGAAGGATATGGTACGGGTGCTACATATACCCTCGAAGGACGAAGAAGAACCGGTAGTGGGCGCTAGACAATCGTTTAAGCGCCGGACCGCGCCGGTCGAACCGAAGGAATTTTTTCCGGTTCTTCTGATTGATCGGCTGTGCGCCGATCGCATGAGCGCACTTTCGGAGGTAAAAAAAATACGTCCGTTCGTGTGCCGTGAAACTCGCCCGTTCAGAGTACCTCAGGCGGACTTCAATAAAATTTTTATCAGTGCCGCCCATGCCCGCTACAGTACTTGATAAAATCGCGGCAGATTCGGGTGGCTGAAGTTCGGTGAAATCACCTTTTCCATCAAAAGAAAAGAATGTTTTTGAAGAGTCATTACTGAAGATTGACACAGCTTCACGTGCAGGAATTCGAGTGGCATGT